TCTTCTGTGTCTGTGTTAATTGGTTTCCTTTTCTTTGTTGAAGAGGGTCTGTGCAATCCTTCTGCCTAGTCCGCCATCTTGCCCCGCCTCCCACAAAGAGGGTTTTGACCACTGACCTTTTGGCTAGTAGTAGAGTGCTTAACTGTTGGCACCACCAGGGACACTGTGTGTGTAAGTATGTGCATTTTTGTTGTTATTAGGTGCCATCAAGTCTGTTTGCACTTTTAGTGACTCTATGTACAACAGAATGAAACACTGCCCTGTCTTGTGTCATCCTCACAATCACTACCATACTTGATCTCATTGTCACAGACACAGTGTCAATTCCTCTCATTGCCAGTCTTCCCCTTTTAAACTATCTACTTTACCACCATATCCTTCTCCAGGGACTGGTCCTTTTTGACAATGTGACCAACATACAAGAGATGAAGTCTGGTCATTCTTGCTTCTAAGGATCATTCCAGTTGTACTTTCCCAAAGCCAGATTTGTTCGTTTTTTTGGCAGTCCATGGTCAGTTCAATATTCTTCACCAACACCACAATTCAAATGAATCAATTCTTCTGCAGTCTTCCTTATTCATTGTCTAGCTCTCACATGCATATGAGACTACTAAAAATACCATGGCTCGACTCAGGCACACATTAGTCTTCATTTAAAATTATCTAAGAATTTCCTTAGAGATAAAATTGTTAAGCACTGGAAATTGTGATTGTGAATTTTTCTTTAAATTCTTATCTCTCTAGGTATAAAGGAACTCTAGTAGCATAGTGCCTAAGGCACCTGACTGCTAATCAAAAGACTGGCGGTTCAAACCTACCAGCCACTCCTAGGAAGGAAGGCTGGGCAATCTACTTCTGTAGTGATACTGCCTCCTCAGAAACCCAAGGAGGGGCTGCTATGAGTAAGGTCCAATTCAATGGCACATAATAACAACAACAGCAACAACAACAACTAGGTATAAAAGTTCAGTATATTTGCATTGCCAGGAAAGTGGGGGAAAGAGAAGCCACAGAGGATGACAGAGCAGAGCAGCAGCCAGGGATTCAGGTAAGGAGAGCAACCCAGGCCCCACCCCCAAAATCCAGGAAAGCAGGGGAAAGGGAAGACAGGGGAATGACAGAGCAGAATAGCAGCCAAGCTTGTAGGTAAAGAGAGAGGCACAGGCCCCACTCCCAATAGCCAGGAGAACAGGTAAAAGAGAAGCCAGGAGGGACTGACAGAGCAGAGCAGAAGCCAGGGATTCAGGTAAGGGGAGGGACCCAGGCCCAACCCCCACAAACCAGGAGAGTGGAGGAAAGAGAAGCCAGGGGGAAGACAGAGCAGGGCAGCACCAGGGATCCAGGTAAGGGGAGGGTGGAGAGGTTTCGAACAGCTAAGGGAGACAAACTTGTCTGTCAGTTTGTCATACTATTTTGGCTTGTGTGTTGCTATGAGGTTTGAGGTTGTGCCACCCATGTGTCAAGTGCCAGCAGGGTTGCACATGGTGCACAGGTTTCAATGCAGCTAACAGACTGCAGCACACTAGGAAGAAGGAAGAAGCCATCCACTTCTCAAAGAATTGGCCAGGAAAAACCTTATGAATAGCAGAGTAACACTGTCTGATACCTTCCTGTGCAACTTTATGAATAGCCCGGAAACATTATTTGATACAGTGCAAAAGAATTAGCCCCTTAGGTCAGAAAGCTTTCAAAATATGACTATGAGAGCTGCATCGTCAAAGTAGGATCAACCTTACTGATAATGGATAAAGTAAAGCTTTCAAGACCTCCATTTACTGATGTGGCACAACTCAAATTGAGGAGAAACAGCTGAAAATGTCCATGAATAATAGGAACATGGAATGTATGATATATGAATCTAGGAAAATTGGAAGTTGTCAAAAATGAAATGGAATGCATAAATATTGATATCCTAAGCAGGAGCTCTGGTAGCATAGTGCCTAAGGCACTTGACTGCTAACCAGAAGGCTGACGGTTCAAACCCACCAGCCACTCCTCGGAAGGAAGGTTGGGGCATTCTACTTCCGTAGTGATACCGCCTCGGAAACCCAAGGAGGGGTCGCTATGAGTCGGGGCCGACTCGATGGCAAATAACAACAACAACAACAACAACAAGCATTAGTGAGCTGAAATGGGCTGGTTTTGGCCATTTTGAATAAGATAGGTCTACTATGCTGGGAATGACAATTTGAAAAGGAATGGTGTGGCATTCATCATCATAAAGGATGTTTCAAGATCTGTCCTGAAATACAATGCTGTTAGTGATAGGATAATGTCCATACACCTATGAGGGAGAACCAGTTAATATGACTATTATTAAAATTTATTCACTAACCACCAAAGCCAAAGATGAGGAAATTGAAGATTTTTATCAACTTCTGCAGTCTGAAATTGACCAAACATGCAATCAAGATGTGGTAATTATCACTGGTGACTGGAATGCAAAAGTTGGAAACAAGGAAGAATCACCAGTAGTTGGACAATTTGGTCTTGGTGACAGAATTAATGTTGGAGATTGCATGATAGAATTTTGCAAGACCAACAACTTATTCATTGCAAAAACCTTTTATCAATAACATAAATGGTGGCTATACATGTGAACTTCAACACATGGAGTACACAGGAATCAGATTGACCACATCTGTGGGAAGAGGTGATGGAAAAGGTCAACATCTTCAGCCAGAACAAGGTCAGGAGTTGACTGTGGAACAAACAATCAATTGCTCATATGCAAGTTCAACTTGAAGTTGAATACAATTAAAACAGGTCCACAAGAGCCAAAATATGATCTGGAATATATCCCTCCTGAATTTAGAGACCATCTAAAGAATAGATTTGATGCATTGAGAATCAATGACCAAAAACCAGAAGAATGTGGAATGACATCAAGAACATCATCCATGAAGAAAGCAAGAGGTCATTAAAAAGACGAGAAAAGAAAAAAAAAAACAAAATGGATGACAGAAGAGACTCTGACACTTGCCCTTGAATGGAGAGTAGCTAAAGCAAATGGAAGAAATGACAAGATAAAAGAGATGAACAGAAGATTTCTAAGAGCAGCTCGAGCAAAGATAATTACTATAATGAAATGTGCAAAGACCTGGAGTTAGAAAACCAAAAGGTAAGAACAGGCTCAGCATTTCTCAAGCTGAAAGAACTGAGGAAAAAATTTAAGCCTTGTGTTGCAATACTGAAAGATTCTATGGGCAAACAGAGTCACTGTACCAAA